GCAAAATGGTAATGGAAAAGACAGTTTCTACACAGCACTAGTTCATATTCCTTTATGTTTCACTATTTATTAATGTTCACGCGTTAGAAGAATGGATGCTGTTTGTACAAGATGTGTTAGTCAGATCCCTACAAATATTTAAATGTTATTTATTATGGGGACCACACTGTTATGTCAGGCAATTGTTGTCTGATTTTGCTCAACAACAGCTGAAGGCACACTCAACAGTCATGCAGCATGGTGCTTTTACCACCTAGGCAAATCCAGTTTTTTCTTTCTCTTTCAGTGCCAGTAAAATGTCTATAGTGTACATATTTTTGGCAGCACACAAAGATCTAAATCAGCATGGTGTAGACTTAATGTATCCTAGTCCATTAAATGCCTCAGCAAATTCTTTATGAATCAGAGTGTTTGCGAGAGCAAGCTGCATACACTGCTTTTTCACAGGTCTTTTTCTTAATCTCTCTCCTGTGTGTTGTGAATCCCCTATCAAACAGAATGCTAGCAAGTAGGGCCTTTGTAATGGCTGGAGCCAGGTGGGAAATATGGCTGAGCTTCTTCTGTTTCCTGTAATCTTTATCAACAGAGGGAAGTATAATGCCCTTTGTCATTTTCTCCTCTTTCTGCTTTTAGTTGTCTTCCCTTTATCCCTTATATTTTTATACGCGAACTGCTTTCACTCCATTTTCCCCCATTTCATTTTTAAGGCTAGGTATAGACATTCAAAAAGCCTGAGGCAGAACTGATCTAAAGTTATGAGGTTTTCTGTAAGTGGCGTAGTCTAAATCAGTAGCGAACAGAACACACATCAACCCTTTGGTGGGGACAACATATCTTAGACCAGGCTCTGCCAATTTTACACCAGTCTGTGTGTCCCAAACTTCTGTTCTAGTATGGGTATAGACCAGTTTTGTGTGCTAAGCTTCTGTTCCGTCATGGGTATAGACTGGTTTCCAATCACATATACTGGTAAAAGTATAATGTCTGTACTTGGCCCAAATATTTCTCTCTCTCCTCATAACACTCTTAATGATATTTTTTCTACTGATAGACCCATGGAAAATGATATAGAAGCATGATCTTCTTATATTAGCTCACGGAGAAAGAATGGCAGTTCTATTGGATTTGCTACATTAAACTAAGAATTTGCATCCAGAGTGTGTCTACACTGCAGTCACACATCTGCTTGCACTACATAAAGACATACCTGGACTAGTCTTAATCTAGTTCCCTCAATACTAATAGCAATGTAGCCATGACAATATGGGTTAGAAACCTGAATACCTATCCACTTTCCCAGGCAGATGTACTGGTAATCATAAAATCATAGAAATGATAGAAAATTATGATCGGAAGGAACCTCGGGAGGTCATCTAGTCCAACCCCCTGCTCAAAGCAGGACCATCCCAGCCAAAACATTGTCTATCTGGGTCTTAAAAACCTCCAAGGACAGAGATTGCACCACCTTTCTGGATAACCTGTTCCAGCGCTTTACCACCCTCCTAGTGAGAAAATTCTTCCTAATATCTAACCTAAACTTCCCTTGCTGCAACTTGAGACTGTTGCTCCTTGTTCTGCCATGTGCCACATCTGAGAACAGTCTAGCTCCATCCTCTTTCAAACCCCACTTCAGGCAGTTGAAACCTGTTTTAGATCCCCCCTCAGTCTTCTCTTCTCTAGACTAAATAAGCCCAGTTCCCTCAGTCTTTCCTCGCAAGTCATGTGCCCCAGCCCCCTCACCATTTTTGTTACCCTTTGCTGAACTCTCTCCAATTTTTCCACACCCCTTCTGTTGTGTGGGGCCCAAAACTGAACACAATACTCCAGTAAACCTATACTAAATGCTGTGCTGCCACAGTTACACTTCAATAGGTACATAACTAGCTGTCTTAAAGTTATATTAAGTGATCTTGTTTTCCAACTATAGTTTAAATAAATAACCAGTTGTAGGTACAAAGACATAAAGGTACTTTCCATGTGAGAATTTGTGTGGTCACAACATTATCGAGTATGGTTAGAGAGTAACCCAGTGAGATCCAATTTTCAAAAAGTAGAATTTATCCATAGACATACCTGTTCTTCAATGTGTTCTGTCAACAGCCTGTTTTGGGTATATCAAATAAGGTTTAACTAAGAAGTTGCCTGAAATAGCAAAACTATTTTTTACCTCTCAAGTGAATCCCTGATTTCTACTCAGAGTCATATTTGGCTCTGTAGAAACAGATACAAATCTTTTAAATGTAACTGAGTTGCCACTTATAAAGACTGAACTCAGTTAGCTTGGGTCTTTCCATTATCTAGGGCATGAAGGGAAAGGATACAAGGGATATGCTTTAATTAGCTTGCAGTTCTGTTAATTTGACTCACCTGGGAACTATCCTGTAATGATTCACAAGCTGCAAGTCATGATTCCTTTCTTGTAGAATACCACCTGGAGAAATGTTCTTCTCAATGCTCCACATCTGGTTCCCATTCTGTTACTGAAGCAACAACCAGCATCCTCTTATATGACAGCTAGTAGAAAGGAGGAAAAAGGTCAGTCTCTCCATTTTGTCAGGCATTAGAAGACTCAACCACATTCCCAAACATTTTCAGAAATTAAAACAAAAATTCCTAAATACATTTCTAATTCCAGTATAATAGGGAATAAAGTCCCTACAGCCTGAGAACCTGAAATGGGCATCATTTATGGGTTGTCTCCCCCACCACATTTTAACACCATTAATTCAAATACAACATTCCCACTATTTAGGACTCTTCTCAGGACTCACTCCTCTCTGAATCTGTGGAGCAGTTTCCAGAACTTCTACAGAACATGTCAGTTTACTAAAATAGACCTAGTCTCTTTCAAACATCCTTGAGTCTTTGCAATATCCACCTGTACAGTCTACAGCAAAATTCTAATTTCTTCTACCAACTGAGGGAGCCTGCCATCTAAATCCATAGAAACTGGCAAAATCACTGGTGCACAAACTTTATAGCAGATCCTTTGCACTGCTTAGAAATTTTTCATTCTGACTTATACCCTTCCACTTAGAAACTCCTCTCCTTTCCCTTTAGCTCCCACAGGTCTACCGTCAGAGAGGGGAATGTCTTTCTGGACTGCTTCTCCAGTAGAGAAACCATGCAAGTAGTTACAAAACATCTTAGGAGCATGGTCACTATCTCTAATTTCCACATAATTAGACCCTATCCAGCAGTTACCCCTCCTGGCTTTTTCAAGCCTGTAGGCCTGCAGAGATCTCAAAACATAACAACTGTTTTACCTTTCCACTTATTATTTCAGTGAATTGCTGCAGTATACACACTGGTTGCACTTGAACATCCACTTGCTGGAGATGGATTCCTGGCCTTCACTCCCTCCCGAGCATATGCACTTTGACTAGAGGTGTGAGGGTACCAGAACATCTGAACTTTCCACCTCAATGATGTCATTGACCTACTTAAAGCTATGAAACATGTGCAGTGCACTCAGACCCACCAGGCACTAGGAATAAGAGCCTTCTCCCCCCATGCTGGGTACCAAGATCCACCAGGCAGTGGGGAAGGAGGGCCTTCACCCACCACCCCAGGTGCTAAAAGTCACCAGGCAGTAGGCAAGAGGGAGGGTTGTCACCCACCACCCCGGGAAACAGCTGTGGTGGTACAGGGTAGTGGATGGTGGTGTTGGCAGGGGAACCAGAACAATAACAACAACCTCTTTGACATTGTTGTGGCTATGAATTTCCTTTTTTGAAGTAATTCTTTCCCAGAGGATTTCTGTATTTCTTTTGCAGACAGTACTCCTAACCTAGCAGCCAAGTTGCAACAAAATCAACAGGTTTCTCTGTTTCTGCTGTATTGGCAGCATCAATACCTGCTGCCAATACAAATTTATCCAGAGGTTCTATCATCTGTGAGACACCCACCTATTTTGTATAACCAAAGGCACCTTGAAACTGATGCGTTTCAGAAGAGTAGGTAAGGTCCCGGAAGCATGACCAGAAGCTCTGAACTTGTGCTGAAAGTTACCCTAGGATGTTCTGACTGTAAGGCATTCAGTTTGGGGTGTCAAAAGTGGCTGAAGGTGAAGCTATCTTAACCATTCTTTCATGCGTTACTGGCTACAGACACTGGTGAGCCTCAAACATGCTAACCTAGAGGCATATAAGACTGGGGCAGACCTTTCACTTTAAGTTTTGATCCATCTTCACTCTTCCTGAACGTTCAGAGACTGAACATGCTCATGAGTTGCACCCACTTGAAAAGACTACACTTAATCAATATGTCTCTTGATATTTTTGTGTGCCTCTATTCAATGTATTCAGTGATCTATCTCCCTTTCTTGACCTTTCTGCCAAGACTGTCTTTCTCAACAGACTGGTATTGACTTATAAATTACAATCATGAAGTTAATTCCTTTGGTACAGAAATCAGAAAGAATTGATTCCTTTGCTTAAAAAATGCAGATGTAATACTTAACATTGTTCTGTTGAATTGTGTTTCTACTCTTACACTGGTTTGATAAGTTGTCCATTAAGCTTCACCTTTTGTTTTCATTGTTTAAAGCCCACAAGTTTTATGGAGATCCCATTCAAAAAGAATTTGAAAAAGAACATTTATATTAGATTCAAAATAATTCTTGTTTCTTTAGAGCACAGTTTTTTCCCAACTACTTTATAATACACATCTCTATAATTAATGATTGCTATTCATGTTCCCTCCCTTTTTTACTCCCACTGACTGGATAAAATCATTGAGATGATAACTTTTAAAAAGCTTTTCCCCAGTTATAAAATTGCTGAGCACTTACCGCTCTGAGTTCATTGTAATTGCAGTACTATTCCAAAATGCCAGAGGCACTTAAGCTAATAAACTCATTAACATGAAACAACCACCAAGAGACAGGGTTCATAAAAGTGCATTTTATTTTAGTCTTCATTTTATTGTGATAACATGAAGTTGAAGGCATTCCCTATAGTGTTTGATGGCAGCTGATAAGAAAACAGCTTTGTAATCCATCTACCTGAAATTTACTTCTCTCTCAGTCTTTCCGACAATGATTTTTGCTATTTATTCCATGTAGTATGAACAATAGCATTAACTAGTATAACAGGCAAAGAAATAACTTTCATTCTTAATCTAATTTTACTCTAATACAGCTGTTACATGTGAATATAAGTAATGTACTAAAAAGCTGTGTACCAACTTTTAGACACAGTGGGTGCGTAGACAAGAGACACTTGATATGCAGTAGACTGGTTAACTGTGCATTACAGTGCCATGGCAAAAAGCATGCTATTATGCTATTGTGCAGTAGTATTAATCTACTGCGCGTTAACCATCATGAAAAAGTGTGCAATCACACTAATGCACAACTCCCCACAACTTTTTTTCCATTTTCCCATACAGAATTATTCTATTCAATCATTCAGATTTGTGACTGAGTGTTTTGGACAGTATTCAAGGTTCCAGACTCCCAATAATTCCTGAAATGCAACTTTTTCCATAGGATCCATCTCTCATCACAGAATTGTACTTCAGTCTCAATTTTAATTCACATTAAAGTGAGGTAAGGTGAAAAACACATAATCAATGAAGTCATATTTTCCTGAACCTGTAGGAGACTCGTGCCAAAAAAATAATTCTGAATGATGTATTCAGTAAATTTCAAAAGTTACGAGGGTGCCTGCATGCATAGAAGTCTCCTATGTGCAGGCTGTCACCAGTGCAGGATGCCTGTGCATCTGCTCCCATAGATGAACATGTACACAGTGCTGTATAATAGGGGTTTAGGCCACACAAACTGAACTGCACAATTTGGACCCATACATATGAATGCTTGCACACACCCCAAAACTGTAGCTAATGGTAAAACTGCAAACACTCTACTGTTGATATGTTCACCATTTTATTGTCCCATAATATTTGATATTTTTCTTCAAGGCCCAGCTCTCTCTCGGTTTCAAGTGATTTGGGGGAAATCCTTTTATTAATGTATTTCTTATAAAGTTAGGTTCTAGCCTTTGTGATTATGACAAAAGGTTTTAATCATATATAATTAGAGAAATAAGTGCATCATAAAAGATCTAAAAAAGAATAAAAAGGCCATTTAAACTATTTCTTTCAATATCTAAGACTGTGTATAGATGAAACAAGAGGCACATGTGAACACTTTAAAGTGAGGAGTTTTAGTTTGCTGCCCCTACAGCTGCAGAGTGAAGCATTGGGCTCCATGCAGCTCCATAGCTCTTCAGGAAGCCCTGCAGGCAGCCTAGCAGCAGCCCAGGAAAGCAGATTCCACCCAAGAAAAGCAGTGAGCCTAATCTCTTCTCTCTGCCCCCCATACCCAAAGGCTTCCTGAGCTGTGCGGGGGCCCAATCCTTCCCTCCATGCCCATTGGGACCTCCCAAGCTGAGTGCCTGCAGCTGGGTGCCACCTGGGGGGGGCATGGCACTGCTGCTGCAGAGGCTGCAGAGCACCAGCCCCTCTGCTTCCCCAGCCCCCAGCAGCCCAGGGACCACTCCACCCACTGGCAATTTACCCTCCCCTCCCCGCTAGAGAAGCAGGTAAGTCAGTGGGGTGTGTGCACAACACAGGGGGTTAATCAGCCCTAAATTAAAGTGGTGTTTTTTAAAATCCACTGCTTCAATTTAGTGCCTCGATTTCATATACACACGCCCTAATGCTCTTAAGGGCATGATTTTGTGGGACCAGTTCATGATTTTGAATACTTGGATTGAACAATACTTTTAAGCTAAAATTTTATTCATAGACAATTTGTAAAACTATTCTATAAACTTCCAATATAATTGTAGTATGCTGAACATCTCAAGGCATGATGCCCAGCTGCAGGCTGCAAGAAAATGATTACAGAACTGCCTAGGAGGACTGGGCCAGTTAAGGAGGATAATTGTCTGGCCCAGAAGATAAAAGCTCCTAGGAAAGATTGCTGAGAGAAAGAGAAGGTTGTGAGGCTAAAGGCAGCAAGACTGATCCAGGACTTACTCTCAGGGTCTGAGAAAGTCCCATAGGGTGTGAGGTAACCCTTTATTGTTTATGTATTTGTTTATTTGGTAATTATGTTGCTGCTGGTGGTGACAAGTTTGTCCCAGGGACAACAAAATGTGCTAGAAAAAGTGACAACCCTCTACAATTATGTTCCTTAGCAAACGGGAAGCTAAATCTTTAGGGATAATATGAAATTAAATTTGATGTCAAATGAACTAACACAGGGAATACTGTGGCAATTTTATTTACTATATAATTAAATTAAATGTTTTCTTTTTTAATTTTATCTGAAGCCTTTGCCATCAATTTTCTGGCTCATTGCTCGTTATGCATTTTATCCAGTTATTAATGTAAAGCATAGAAATACCCTAGGACTGAGGACTGAAATCTAAGATTCTCCCCACTCCAAGGTCATGGTGTGCTCCCCTGGCTGGAAGGCTTGTGTTGATCATCTGGCTTGGGTCCTAGCCATGAGAGCACATACTGCACTCCTCAGTCATCTAAGGCTTGACA